TAACGTAGCGTTATTTAGAAAGCAAGATAACTACTCTTGCAGGAACTTTTTGCATCCCGTTATCAAATTATTGAAAAAAACTTGTACGTGAAGTTAACGAAATTCAACCATGCAAGTATCAGTGATCGCTCAATTGGTGTTCTTCTCGACGCCGATCTCACCACCGACCGACCGGTCATTACCGTAGCGCGTCACCTCAGCAAACCTGCCTAATCCTATTCTTTACATTATATTAACCCATTGTATACGCATACCCGGGGAAAATTTGATCAAGGATCACCGACAGTCCACGTGCACAAATGACTGTTGATGACACGGAGGAAACGCTTTCACGATTTCGAGTTTCGAAGGAATTAGGATTTCTTACACAATGTGATTTGAGAATGATGCCCGAATACTATCGACCATGGATTGATATATGTGGTATGCCAATTTGACCTTTCACTTTCTACTTTATCCCAAAACTACGAGCGTGCCCAAGAGTTACTGTGTCGCGGTAGAAGTGAAATTTTCATGGTGCTAATTTCATTGTCCCCTAAGTGCGTTCACCCTTTTGAGTAAAACCATGCTTGACTAAGAGGTTGCAATCATTTTACACTGTAAAAGATAGGCGATAAAGTTGCGAAAACTTAGTTGAACAAGAAGAGAACACAAACGATCATTTTCGAATTGTGATATCGGCGATTGTGAGAGAAATTGTGACTGTTTTACTGAACAAATAAAAAATGCGAATTGTAGGGTTCATCTAGGAATCATTTCAAGACCACGTGAATCTCATTCAAGACTTTTACTTAGAAAATAGAAGAACCAAATAAAATGTGAGAGACAGTTTCTTTTTCATGATAAAAGTTTGACCAGGGATCGGACATTCTGAGAGAAATGTCTTTATGGCTCCTAATGAAACACTTATATTTATATATTAAAGTCATGTAAATTGTAATTTTAGCACATACTTGTACCCGATAGACTGTAGTTTGATTCTCAACGTTCTAGATAATATGGTCGAGCTCATTGAGAGCAATGGAGTACGGCAAGCTGTTCTCGATCTGCCACAGCTTGATGTCAATAATCTCGTGACGTACGAGGATTGGAGAACTGCACATCTGCTCTTAGTCACCATAACATCAGGCTATCTATGGAGCGGCAAGCCCAGTGATGTAAATTCTTGTACTCTGAAGATTAGATTCAACGATTTATTGTGGCAGGAAGGTAGAATTGTAAAATAGAATACCACCAAATCTTAAGGGCAAAAAACGAAATATTGTAGCTTTGGTTTTGTAAAATTTTACTATCAGCTCTAAATGGTTTTGGAAATTAAGGGTTTTCAAGGAAGTTTGGAGGGAAAAAGTTGGATTTTTTTTAAAATGGATTCTACTTTTCTTCTTTTTTTTAACAGATGAAATAAAAATTGACAGCACTTCTTAGCGCCAAGTTCCTCATAATAGCAATAAAGTAGTTTTTTCTAAATTTCTGTTCAACCAAATCCACCTATCCAAGCGATTGTCCTTTAGGCCCCTCTTGTCTTGCCAAAGAACATCTGCTTACCACTAGTGTCCGTCTCGGAACGGCTAGGGTTGCGACCAGTCATATGCCATGCATCTG